CGAGAGACCAAAGCCATGGACCGGAGATCCACGACAATAAACCGAACCAACATCGAGTAGAGCAACTACTCGTGCCACGCCATTGCAACCGATCGAATCAGACTAGTGCAAATGGCGACCATGCGGAAACCAAAGCAGCGGAAAACCAACGCCGTGGCCAGGAGAACCACGGCCGGAAACCAAAACCCACATTGCGTAGTGCCCTATGCCGCGGCGCAAATAATCGTGCCATCCCAACCCGGAGACCACGGCATTCCAACCAATCAGGCGAAACCCAAGCGGCGAAAATATCCAACACCGTGGAATGGGAACCACGCTTGCTCACGCGGAACCCACCCAGAGAAGCGCCCTATGCCGCGGCGCAACTCTGCCCGTGCCCACCCGTTGAGGAGGACTGCCCCCCTATAGTAGATAAATAAACATACACCCTGATTCTCGGAGTAGCAACATTTTGTCCCAAAAAGGTATAAGTTTTTTTTATTTTCTTTTTCCTTTATTTTTTCAACTAAATGAATACATAATTGTACACACACATGATTAAGTCCATTTAAACTACTAATTCACATAAAATATGTAATGATCAAACAATTAACATTAAATTTAATTAAAAAATTTATTAATTAAAAAAATAATCAATTTAAAAATTAATTAATTAATATTTAATTAAAAAAATTAATTAATTAATATTTAATTTAAAAATTTGATTAATTAATATTTAATTGAAAATTAATTAATTAATACTTAATAATTAACACTTAATAATTAATACTTAATAATTAATACTTAATAATTAATACTTAATAATTAATACTTAATAATTAATTTAATACTTAATTAATAATTAATTAATTAATACTTAATAATTAATTTAATGAAAAAATAATTATTTATATTTAATAATAAATTAAATAATTAACTTTAATATAAATATAAGTCACGAAACCCGCTTTTATCGACTCGTCCACGTGGCACGGCCCGCCCACCGCACCGAAACCCGACCGGGGCCGCTTTTACCGACCCGTCCACGTGGCACGCCCTACCAACCGCACCGAAACCCTATCGCATACGCTTTTACGACCCGTCCACGCTTAGAAAATTAATTATTTAATATTTAATATTTAATCGAGGATTGAGCTTAAATCCTTGGTCCTTATTATCCTTGATTAATTATTTATCCTTTTCATTTTCCTCTTCTTGTTATCTCCTTTTCCTTGACCCGCATGACCCGCATGACCCGTATGACCCGCATGACCCGCATGACCCGCATGACCCGCATGATCCGCATGATCCGCATGATCCGCATGATCCGCATGATCCTTATGATCCTTAATCCTTTATCCTTAATCCTTAATCCTTAATCCTTTATCCTTAATCCTTAATCCTTTATCCTTTTCCTTTTCCTTTTCTTGATATATATATATATATATATATATATATATATATATATATATATATATTTATATAAATCAAGAAACCCGCTTTTACCGACCCGTCGACGTGGCACGGCCCACCCACCGTACCGAACCCCGACCGGCGACCGCTTTTACCGACCCGTCCACGCGGCACGGCCCACCAACCGTACCGAAACCCGACCGCAACCGCTTTCATGGCACGGCCCACCCACCGCACCGAAACCCGACCGGCGACCCGCTTTTACCGACCCGTCCACGTGGCACGGCCCACCGCACCGAAACCCTATCGCATACGCTTTTACGCCCCGTTACGCGGCACGGCCCACCAACCGTACCGAAACCTGACCGCTTTGCCGCGGCACGTGGCTTGAGGACCACTGCCCCCCTATAGTAGATAACTAAACATACGCCCAGATTCTCGGAGTAGCGACATTTTGGCC